GAAAGAGGGAGTTGGTCTGGCCGTGGCCCTCCAGGCTGGGTACCTGCATCATCATAGAACATCCGAAAGCTGTCGGTGTGGTGGTGCCCGAAGAACTGCCCTGCAATGACTCGATGATGCTTCCGGACCACTTTAAGGTACTCCTGGTTGGGGCCCTCCCGGAACCACGCTTTGTTCCGCGTCTTCTCAAAGAACCCCGGGGGCACATGGCCGATAATGTACACCTACAAGGAAGGGGTGCCCAGCAGGGCTCAGAGAACCCTTCCACAACTCTTCATCTCTACCTCTCACAACCTGCCCATCTCCCCGGAGGCAAGCAGATGGGCTCAAAGGTACCTCCTCCCCCATCCCTCTCCCAGGTGATCCGGCATCTCCCTGTACCCAGAAATGAATGTGCCACATGCTTCCCTCCCGCTGTGCCTTTACCCATGCTATGCCTGCCACCTGGAGCGCCCTTCTCATTTTCACTTCTGTAAATGCTACTCATGCTTCAAAACCCAGCTCAAAGGATACGTCCTCCTGAAACTTTTCTGATCCTTCAGAGACAAGTCTTCTCTTCTTGGAGAGCTCAGGCACTGTAACCAAACCTTCCTCGCATGGTTGTGAAGCATATGCTGTGTGGTAATGTGTGTTCATGTCTTACATTCCTCGAGTCTCTCAGCTAACAATGCCTGGGCCCTTGGTCCCCATTGCAAGAGGTAGAATGGGGGGTGGGGGCAGTGGTAGCAAGGGCAGTTAAGAGCATGAGCTTTGGAGCCAAACTGCAGCTGGACACCAGCTGTGTGTCACCTCTCTGAGCTTGAGTTTTCTCATCGGGAAGGACACCTAACTGGTGGAGATATGAGAGTTAAATGAGATCATCCATATAAAGCACTTAGCAACGTATCTGATGCATGGTGAGGGCAAAAGCACTGGCCATGAGATCCTGCTGGGATGCGCTGGTCAGAGCAGGGACTCAGGCAAATGAGACACAGGGTCAGTCATTGGGGGCCTGCTAGCCCAGCAGACTAGATGGACACACCTCAAGGGCAGGGCATCCCCTTGAGGTCTAGCCCACAGTGTGGCTGCAGCTGTGCTGGCCTTGGATTCTGGAGACTGGGGTTCTAGTCTAGGCCCACCACTTATTG